ACAGTCCAAGCTCCTTATCATGGACACCAGACCCTCTACCATATGGGCTTCTCATTCTCCCCAGCTTCCCCAACCGTCCTCCTAGCTCTCAGCACTCCAGCCATATTTGTCTTTTTATTTTTTCTAGGCTCTTTTCTCTCTCTGTCTTTTTTTCCCCCTACTGTAGGCTCTCATCTCAAGGTACTTACAGATGTGGTTCTCCTCCTCTGGAATTCTTTTTTGCTATCCACTCCCCCTACCAAACTGTAATTTCTCACATTCTTTTCTGACTCACCATACATACATTTAAGGTCTGTGCAGGTAGGGATTATGTCTGTCTTGTTCACCACCAGCTCTTCCCCTCCTTTCCCATTCGTAGCACCAGCAACAATTTCTAGAATGTAGCAGTGCCTGTTAAATATTTATTGAATAAATAATGAATACATCTGGTCCTGGGCAAAGTTCCTTAATATCTTGGTGTTCAAACCCTGGTTTAGCCACTTACTATGTGACACTAGGCAAATTGTTCAATCTTGTCCCTCAGTTTTCCCATATGCAAAATAAAGATGATAATAGCACTTACATCATCGTGTTACTGTGATAATTAAATGAGACCATTGATGGAATGTGTTCTTGGAACAATGTTTGGCATGTAATAAGTTGATTAAAATGTTGCCTATTACTAGCTTTTGTTGCATATCTCACCCTTGTGTCAAATACATTTCAAAATTGAGATTATCAACTTGCTCTTCTTCTTACCCTATACATGATACCAAATTCTTGGAATTATTTACTCATAGCCTATTTTTATCACCCATCAAAATAGTAATTTTTTATTTCATAATTCCTCACATTCTTCCTGTCTGTTCATGATGACCTTCAGTTAGGCCCTATCTCTTCATATCTTACTTTGCTAATTTCCTAGGTGTGTTCTGACTGTAGGCCCACTTTCCTTATTCCCTTGTGCCCTGTCGTCAGACCTATGGGCCTCCGACAGTTATTAAACCCTGTATTTTCCTTGAGTTCTGCTCTCTTGGCTTCTGTTCTCACCTAATTTTGTTCATTTACTCATTCATTCAATCATCCATTCATCCAAGTGCAAGTTATTTTACTGAACATTTTGGATATATTCCAGATTTGAAGTCGAGTCTCTCAATTTCATCTAGTCTTCTCTAGCATCTCCATGAACCATGAAAATGAACTAGAAATGTCAAACTTTCAGCATCCATTTTTTGTCTCTGGGACTTGGAAGCTACCTTTATTTTTGACTCAATTATACCCCTGGAAAATATGATCAATATTGGGAAAAGTAGAGAATAGCACATGGATATAACTTGACTTAGTTTATGATAGATAAGTGCCCTGAGCGAGATCCAGAAAAGGGGGAAGATCTCAAGTTGATTATAAAAGGCTTCAAGGAGAAAGTGGTATCTGAGAGCTTCTCTCTAACCACGGCTTCCTTTTCCTTTTCCTGTTATTTTTCTCTCTTGCTTCTGCTGTTGAACCTAATTATCATTCTCACTACAAACTCAAGTTCCATGAACGCTGCCTATTCTAGTTCATCACCTCTCATGACTTAATTTGCTTTCCTACCTAAGCCCAAAGCCATGGTGACCTATTTCATTTATTCTAAAAGTATCTGTTAAACACCTACTTTGTGCCATGCACTTTTAGAAATGGGCTAGAGTAGTGAATAAAACATTGCTTCTGTCTCAAAGGTACTAAAATCTTCAACCTCTCCTCTTTCTGCCATTTCTTTTTGTCCACTCATTTGTGCTCTCATCCAGTCTCATGGTTGTAAATACTAGGTGTATGCTGACAACTTTCAAAATTATACCTTCCCCACAAATCACTCTCCCAAACTCTAGGCTCATTTAAACAAGTACCTACGCACACCTTGACTTGGTTATTGTCTTAGCCTGGCATCCCCCAGGAAGCAGACCTGAGGCATACGCCTCTGTGCTGTTATTTTATTAGGGAATATAATCCCTGGGAAATGAGGATAGGGAAAAGAAGTGAGTCAGGGGAAGAGGTCAAGATTCAGTTAATGGGATGGATGCTAACACTACTCTCCTCCCCCAAATTCAGATACTTCCATTTTGTATGGGCCTGAACATGAAGCAAAGCACTATCGGGTGATTATGGCCTGAGGTATGTTGGCTATGGCAATAGGGACAGAATAAGAGGCCAAAGGCCCCACAGGCAAGGAGACCAAAAGGATCTGAGATGCTATAGATGTCTAATAGACACCTCAAACTCAATATATCCAAATCTGAATGGAATTTCCCCCTCACATTTGTATTTGAAGCTTTTCCCATCCTAATAGCTGAGGTTAAAAATCTTGGCGTGATTGTTAGTACCTTCCTTTCTCTCACACCTGACATCTGTTCCTTTAGGAAAATTTATTGGCTGTACCTGCAAAATGTATCCAAATCTGACTGCTTACCACTTCCACTGTGAGTGAGCCAAGTCTACAATACCTTCATTTCTTGCCTGGATTACTGCAATTGCTTCTGAAGAAGTTCCTTACGTCTTGCCTGGCCATACACCAGCCACGCTTCTGCCTTAGCACCTTGGGGATGTTTCAGTGCCTAAAATGTTCTTTTTCCAAATATGGAGAGAGTTAACTCCCTCACTTCCTTCAAGTCTGCTGAGGGAGAAAGCACTTTCTCGCTGAGGCCATGAGCATTCTATATCTATCTATCTATCTATCTATCTATCTCTCTATCTCTCTATCATCTATCTATCTCTCATCTATTTTTTTCTTTATTCATGAAGTTTTATTTAGAGTTACTTCCTCATGCTAGACGTAAAATTACTGGGGCAAAGATCATGAAGCATTCTCAAGTCCTTGATTATCAAATTCAGAAGGGTTATAGCAATTTACACTCCTTTAAGCAATGTATGAAAATGCCCACCTCAGTCCATCTTTATTTACTCTGACTGCTCATTTATGGGTGAAAAGGGCATCTCCTTGTGGGTTTTTTTTTTTGACCATACTATTTAAAATTGCAACTTGACACCCACCTCAACCACTCCCCCCAATACCCACCCCATTTTTCTGGAATCTCCATATCCTGTTAATATTTTTTTCTGTAGCACTTATTACCTTCAAACATACTATTTTACTATTTTTTATGTTTATTGTTGACTGGCTCCCCTGCTAAAATACAAGTTTTAAAGAGCAATATTTTCGTTTTGTTCACTGATGTATGTCAAGTATTAGAACCATGCCCTAGTATATACCCGGTGCTCAATACGTATTTGTTGAATGAATTTCCAACTTGCCTGTCTTTGATCTTAGATGGTTCATACTGTTCAGATTTATTTTCTTGGTTGATTTTGCAGTTAAAATGAGGAGGCATATAAAAGGCTTTTTCTTATTTCTTAATTACCTTATAATCTTAAACTTAATGTAATAGGTATCAATAGTTTCTGGATCAGGAAGCAATTGAAATCATTAACATCTCTCTATTTATAACAGCAAAAAAAAAAAAAAAAAGTGAATGACCCAAATATCCCCACTACCAAATAGTTAACTATTTAATTAATTTTATGTCCCTTATAGGTGCATGTACCTCTTTTAATACTGATTATAATGTAACTATTCATTGTCTTGTTTTCATCTTTCACTGAACCATGAGCTCCCTAAAGGCAAAGTTTTGTTTTGTTGAACTTGCATCACTAGTAACTGGCATATAATAGATGCTTAGTAATGTTTCTTGAATAAAAGAATGAAAGCATAGTTAGAGTTTCTCCAGCACTGGTGAAGGGAGAGGTCCCTTGCCCAGTTGATGCAAGCATATGATCTACTGAGTTCTTCCCCTGCAAAGTGTAGAGGGATGCTGGAGGCTCTTCATAGTTGGAATTGGTGAAAGTTATCAATGCTCATGAAGTCATCTTGTGATTTTCATTGTACTTTCCAGATAGTTTTCCAACAGAGAAGAGAAAGCACTGACCTGTTAAAATTATTCCTGGTCTGTTTACGAGTTATAGTTCCCCACGTAAATTAATACATTGCTCCTTAAAATTAATCTTAACAATAACAAAAAATAGCTCTTGACTTCCACTTCCTTCTCCAGCTACTGTCTCATTTTTCTTTTTCTTTCTTTCTGTTTTTTTTTTTTTTTGCTCTCTCTACAGTAAATACCCTTGAAAGAGTTCTATATCACTGTCCCAATTCCTTTTCTCTGATTTTCTGTTAAATCCACTGCAACTAGCTCTTACCCGCAGCATTCCACCCCACTGCTCTCCACGTTACTTAATCCAATGACCTGTTTTTAGTCTTCATCTCACTTGACCTGTCAGCAGCATCTCACACAGTTGATGCTTCCCTTCTCCCTGTAACACTTTCTTCACTTGGCTTCTGGGACTCTGTGTTCTCCTGGTTTTTGTCCTACACTACTGGTGACTGTTCTCAGTTTCCTTTGCTCACTGACCTCTTAATATTGGAATGTCTCAGGACTCTGTCCTTGGACTTCTTTTTTTTTTTTTTTAGGGTTTTATTTATTTGAGATAGAGAGCAAGAGAGAGCACAAGCAGCAAGGAGGAGCAGAGGGAGAGGGAGAAGTAGGCTCCCCTTGAGTAGTGAGCCAAGGCGGGGCTCCATCCCAGGACCCTGAGATCATGACCAGAGCTGAAGGCAGACGCTTAACCAGCTGAGCCACCTAGGCGCCCTGGGACTTCTTTTGTTCTGTGTATTCTCTCCCTTAGTGATCTCCTTCAATCTTATGACAATAGATATAAGTAAGCTCACAACTCCCTAGCTTCAGACCCAGACTTGTATATCCAAGTACCTCAGCATCCCTACTTGGATGTTTAATGGACCTCTTATATCAAAACTGAACTCTGGATCTCCTCTCCCCTCACAAACCTTCTCTCCTTACGACCTTCTCTATCTCAGTTAACTGCAATTCCATTTTTCCCATTGCAGAGGCTGACTCAGCAACTTTTTTTTTTCTTCTCTATTTGTTTTTTATTAACAAGCAAAATAATAATTAAAAAACAACAACAACAACCACCTTAAAGTTGGAACAGCAATGAGTCAAACTGCTGCTGAAGTTCCTGGATGTACCCAGGGTACATGCTCTCTCACTGCGAGGCAGAACCTAGGCACATGACTGTGCATTTAGGTATATATATGACCAAGAAAAGTCAGAGAGTTGGAAACCACTGGAGAACAGAAAGCATTAAGAGCTTTTCATCAGGCAATCCCAAAGCACTCTGCCCTTTTCCTCTTCTTTGCCTCTGTATCCTCTGTGGTTCCTGTTCCAGCTGAACTTGTAACAATCCCAAATCGCTCCTTCCTCTGTTTCAGTTTCTCATCATCTTCAGACTTTCTGGATATTGAAGAGACATTCAAACCAAACCTTTGGGCTCTTTCCTTTAGTTTATCCAGGTTAACCATAGGCTTGGCATCAGATGACAGACCTTTTGATGGAACTGAAGAAATCCCAAATCTTGCTGCCCGGGCAGCTTTCTTACTCTCCAAGCTCACAGGTACATTGAATCGTTCAGCTCTCTTCTGCATTCTCTCAGTCTGTGGTATCTCACATATAATTTTTACCACTTTCTTCTCTGCTGCCACATCAACAGTTTTCTCAGGGGGTTCTTCCTCTTTGACAGGCAGTTCTATGGGCTTTGGTTCTTCTTCCTCTGTTTCATCTCCCAGTACATCTTCTTCATTTGCCTCCTCTTCAGCATGCTCTTCAAGATACGCCCGGAGCCGGTTGATGAGATCTTGTTTTATTCCCTTGGTCTCCAAGCCACGAGCAAGACATTCCTGCTTTAGTTCAGCAAGCTTCAGTTTATGGAGCTCCACCGTCTCCGCCGCCATCTTGTTACCCCTCCAGTCCACTTGACTCAGCAACTTTTATACCCCACATCCAACCTGGCATCAAATCCTGTTGCTCTCCCTTCAAAATATACGACCACTCTCCCCATCTCCTCTGATACCGCCACTCTCACCTTTGCCTAGGAGTTTGTATCAGCTACCCTTAATCTTTATTCTGTTCTCAACATAGCAGTCAGCGCAATCCTTTTAAAACATAAAGTAACCATGCTATCACTGTCCAGAACTGTCTAGCAGGCCCCCATCTCACTCAGAGTGTAAGCCATGATTCTCGCAATTAGCCTACAATTCCCATTATCTCTGTGCTCTCACTTCCCATTCTTCTTCCCCTTAATTTTCTTTGGTCATGTTGGCCACCTTGCTGTTCCTCAAATATCTTGGACACGCTTTCTCCTCGGGAACTGTGCACATGCTCTTCCTTGTGCTTGGAATGCTCCTTCCAGACATTTTCATGTCTTCCTTATCTCCTCAGGTTTTTGCTCAGATGTCCCCATTTTTGTGAGGCCTTCTCTTACTACCCTGATGAAAATTGTTCACCTTACACTCCACCTCTCTTTGCTCTTTTGCTCCCCCTATCTCTCTTTGCCACTTTATTTTTCTCCATAGCACCTATCACTCTGTGGTGTGCTATCTACTTAACTCATTTATTGTGTTAATTGTCCATCTGATCCCTCTAGGGCAGGGACTTTGCCTTTTTTTTTTCACTGCTGTGTCCTTAACCTCTAGAACAGTGTCTTATACATAGCTGGCATTCAAATATTTGTTGACTGAATGTAGTTGAAATTATGGATTTAATATTAATCTCCTAGTATTTGGTTAGCAAAACAGATCGCTTCAGCCTGATCACCTCTGGATGCATCCAATGATATTGAGTTGCTGTATTGCAGCCTGAATCATGAAGGTTCCACTGAGGTACTGCCTTATCGTGGGTCTTGATTTCAGCATGGCCATGCCCTCTATCCTGGTTCCATATAACCTGAAGGAGATGAGGACCTCTCTGAAGCTTTCTGATTTTCCCATGTCCCAGAGTCGGAACTGAGGAACAGACAAGCAAGATTCTGGGTACTTTTAATTTCTATTTTGAGGACTAAATGGTAAGCTACCACTACTGCAACAGTCTCAGCTTCCTGTGACTGAACACAGTACCACATAAACAAAGTCAGATGGCCTCTTATCCTCCTAGAAATTACAAAAGGGCCAGTGGTTGGTGATTAAAATCAGTAGTGGTAACAGGTGAATATTTATTGAGTGTTTACTTTGTGCCAAGTGCTGTTCTAAACACTTGTGCTGTATTGATTAATTTAATCCTCACAATACCCAATGAGGGGAAGTATTAGGAACATTTTATAGATAAGTAAGCTGAAGCACAGAAGAGCAAAGAAATGTCTCTGAGATCCTAGAGCTAGTAAGTGGCAAGGTCAGAATGTGAACCCAGGCAGTCAGGTTCCAGAGCTTTACTCTCAATCATGGGGCTCCACTGCCTGGTTGTAAGGAGGACTGTGGGGAGGGACTTTGCATTGAAAGGAAAGTGGAGTAATTATGATTTCATCAGTATAATTCTACCATTCTGAAAGCCCTGTAGTAACCCAAACGTTTTTTCTGGCATCCCCCTATTGCCATTTTCATACATGACACAAGAATCAGGCCAACTAGGGGCGCCTGGGTGGCTCAGTCTTTAAGTGTCTGCCTTCAGCTCAGGTCCTGATCTCATGGTCGGGGATCGAGCCCCACGTTGGGCTCCCTGCTCCGCGGGGAATCTGCTTCTCCCTCTCCCTCTGCCCCCCTTCCCCCGACACTCTC